ATTGTGAATTAAAAAACAAGATTAAGTATTTGTAAAAAAAAAGATGTCTAGGCCAAATATACTTTAAGATTAATAAGTAAATATAGTGAGGAAGAAATATTATGTTAACAAGAAATCTGGTTTACATTAAGTTATCCAGTATATTTTACTAAAGTAACAAAAAGATGGACTTTTCATTTCTACGAAATTAGTTAGAAAAATGAAATAAAAAATGATTTCTTAACACTAGAATATTAAAAAAAAAAAAATAGAAATTAGTGCAGTAAATAGTATTGAAATTATCTGATAAATGTTTTTAGAACATTGTTAATCAAAGTCATTCTGGGATCTGTGATGGAAAATCTTGGCCAAAATTAGTTTAGCCCATTTTGTTGAGTTTTTTGGACATGTTTGAAAAATAAACATTTTATTATCTTAAGTCTTTTGAGAAACACTAATTCAAGCTCAGAACAACAAGTCAAACTGTGAGAAGTTATAAAAAGGCTTAACATTAAGCATGTTACCCTATTGATGTACATACATTTTTGGTATTTATTCATTAAAAATAAATGTATTAAGACAAAATAATTAGAAACATTTTAGATTAAAAAAAACCTTTGGTGTTTCAAAAATTTGACTAATTAATTAAGAAAGACAACTTTCATAATGTCACACTATGAGCAAAGTGAAGACAAGTATTGGAAAGTAATTTGAAAAAAAATTATATACATCAACTTGCTAGCTTCAAGATGACAAAATTTAATTAGAAATTATAGTTTCAACATTTATGTGTCCGCACTATTTCAAAATCTATTTCCTTATTATGAATATAGAATAAAGGTACTGTTCATTTCTCTATATAATTTCTTGGAGAACTTTATGAAGAAGTTATTAATGCTTGGAATATATATTTACTACATCATGGAAATCATTCAAAATTTTAAATATCTAGACGTCTTCAAAAGTCTTCAGTTAACTTTGGACCCACTAATATCAAGTTTAAACAATCTTACTATAGGTAAAACTAAACTTTTGGATCAAAAGTAGATCATTTTTCCCCTTTATTTTATGTATATACCATCAAGTCTTTTCAACTAGTTTGCAGAGCAACTCTCACAATCACCAAGTAATTGTAGATAGTCATATAAGAGACAATCAGTTGTGTATGAAGAGAAACAGATTATGATTATGAATAGAGTTAAAATCTGATTAATATCAGATAATAATGAGCACTGTCTCAACATAGTAATACCTGTGAGTTGAGAATATTACTTCATACTGCAGAAAACAAATAAAATTAAATAGAAATATCTAACAGGTTGGGTAAGCAGTAAAGTTTCATTACTGAATATAGAAATGTTTTCTTCTTGTAATGAATTTAAATCACTACTAATTCCTCTAAGTTTAGTTGATGTCAACTTTAAACTGTAAACCAACATTAATAGATAAAATAACTCAAATAATGTATATTAAATACACAACATTTTGAAAGACATAAAATATTAATTCATTGTATAACAACTACAACACTACTAATATACTACTTATTTATATGAATTCATAAAAGTATGAACTCATGATAAACTTTTTAAATAAATCATAAAACACATTAAAAAAATTAACTTAACGCTTTAACAATTTATATATATAATAAATATAACTTATGAACAATAGAACAAGAATCAATATTGCAATTAATTTGGATAGCATTTTAATGCTCATTCATAAATTAAAAATTTACAACTTCTTCATTTACAATGAACAAATAAGTGATCAAAACTAGTGATAATATTTCGATGTGTAAATTTTTACAACATAAATAATGCTTACAGTTGAATGGCCTTTGTATAGATATGAACACTGAAATATAATTTATTCACTTTCTTAAAATAACATACAATAACAATTTAACTTTGATGGGTAGCTGGTACAGATAATTTTTAATATTTTGGCTGCAAAATAAACTAATTATATCTTATGTTTAAATGTTATTTTACAATATTTATTTTTTATATCTGTGAACAATAGTTTAGAAAGAACTACCGAATATGTACTTGCTTATATATCAAAATCACGCCTAACTGATAAATATTGTATTGCATCTCGATTAATCATTTATGTTACAATCGATTCTTGTGCGCTTTCTCCACGGTTAAGTTTGATATTGGATAATATGAACTGTGAACATTAAGTTACAGTCGCAAAAGTGGGATGTGAAACATAATGTACTGAAAAATAGGGGTGGATATTCAGAGAGAAAAAATGGGAAATTCTCCCTTACAAGATAACCAGTGAAAAAATATATACAGCTGTTTAAAATATGTCATTAGTAGCAGTACTCACGAATAACTGGAAATAAATTATCATTCATAAGGCGGGGTAAAACCAAAAAATTGACTCAGCGTGTGAAAAATTGATTATTGAAGATGAATCAATGAAATTAATTACATTTTATATGCCTGCATCAATTGATATTAAATAGTGAGAGATGTAAAATAGCAATATAATCAAGTTATTACAATATCTGACATAGATAATATTCCTAACAAAGTGGGTGGTCACTCTAATAGTCCCCTCCCAAAAAAAAAAACTATCTCTGGATTCATCCCTGTTGACAACTCATTATACTTTATCTAAGCCAACTCTCAGAACTGAAACACTTGTGAAACATCAATGATTATCACCTATGTCCTGTAATGGCACCTTTTACCAGTTCAGGATTTAGATTTAACAATGATACTACCACACCTCAATTTAATACTAAAAACAGCAAGAGCACTTTTGATTTCTGCTCTTTTTACTCATTCAAAAAATGAAAGAAATCCAATAAGCCTTTGATAGCAGATGAACCGATATAGACTGTTAAATTTAATTTTAATAAAAAAATTTCTTGCCATTATTCCAAGCGATTTGTATCCTACTAAAGCCAAGTCATGATTTGAGCTGTTTATATCTAATAAAAGGTACATGATATTATATTAATATCTGTAGCAGTCAGCATGTAGTGTATATAATCAATAGTACATACTCGATAGTTTTACCTTTTGTTTTTAATTTTATTTAGAATTTATTTTGTTTGAAAATTTAACAAGTTGCATCATATCCGAATGTTATTAAAGTGAAATATTTACTTTTTTTTTTTTAAGTAGAGTATTTTTATAAACAAAGTTGAGGTAAGAAGCTGTTTAACAAGCTGACCAGCTATTCAACAAATATATTTGTACAAAATATGAGTGTTCAATATATACACATTAAAATATGAATCATACAAATAAAATTAGTGCATTTCCTTTACAAAAGTCTGACCCTGATAAAATGAGTTGAAATTTTTAACTAGAGATAATATCACAGATAATTTTTAAATAACTTGCATGATATCATTCCATTAATGAATGGATATAAAGCAAATTTTACAGCAAAGACACCAATGTTAAAAAATAAGAATACCTACATGCTTTCAAACTAAAGCTGAGATAAAATTAAAAAAAAAAGAGAGAGAGAGAGGTAAGTCCAGCACTTAAATGCTATCAAGAACATCTCTATTATCTGTTCAAAAATAGTCTTTAACTAAAGAAAAAATGAATTAATTTCTCAAATTAAAAAAATATTAACAATTAATTACAAATGAAAATTAACAAAGGAAACTTAGTTAAATATGATCTCTAAAATAAAAAGTATTCCTATCTCAAGCTTGCCCACGATAAGATGGCATCCGGGGGAGCTCATGCAGCACTAAATTGAAGCGAATTTTTTTTTCTTTGGCCTCCAATTTCAATAACTAAATATTTACAAATATGTGTGTGTATATATATATATATATATATATATATATATATATATATATATATATATATTTCATGATTATATTAAAACCTTGTGACATATGCACATAAATGTCAATAAAACAGAAAGGTAAGGAACAAAAATTGTTAATTTTCATTTTGTGCGGCATGAAAGCCCTAGGGCTGCCATCTAATTGTGGATGAGCTTCAATTAATAATAACCATCATAATATTAACCAATACTAAATAACAAATAACTTTGAAAAAAAAGGTCATAAAACATAAAAGACAACAATTAAAGAACTAAAAGAATACTTTGTTCCTCAAGTTTGAATAATTAAAACATTTGCAAATATATCCTATTCACAAAGTAATATAATGAATAAATAAAATAAAAATAAATGTCCTTTTATGATACTTTTAAGGGTGTTTTTTCCAATACTATTAACTGTTTCACATTCATGACTAAGTAACTTTTAATAAAAACACCTACAAAGAAAAAATATTGTTACTCTAAAATGATGAAAATTAAACCAATTCAATCCCCTTCAATCAAAACTCACAGTGAAATGTGTATAATACTGATTTTTAATACATTAATTGGTTATTTTAATTGTTGTGGAAGGATGGGACATATATGCGATAGCATTTAATCTACTGCAGTTGAAAAATTGTCGATGTTCAGAAGAAATTAGAAAGTTATTAATTTTACGAATCCACATCAAACCTGAGTCAATATTTACAAATACTTAAGTGTAAACCACAGTACTTTCAAAATATATGATGAAAAAAATAAGATAGTGAAAGAAAAAATTTATATCATGCATAAAAAGTAATGTCATAACTTACACGATTTATTATTGATACTGATCAATGAGGTCAATTTTGAATTCAAATTGGTACCCTACATGAATCATGGTAACTATTTTTAAGCAAAATGGAATTTTATGAAACACAAGGTGCGATTAAATTAAACCTAGGTTAGGTTAAGATCATACCCGTGAATATTTTGAGAAATATTTAAGTTAATATATCAGAAATTTTTTTGTGAATAACCAAAGCTATTCTTTTTTCTTTTTTTAATAATAAACATTATTATTGATAATTTAAAATAGCCAGTATTGCAATAATCCAACATTTTTTCAAGTAAAATCTTTCAATTATACAGATAAAATAGGAATTAATTAAATGCAAAGATTCTTCTTTCAACACTTGAATTAATTTATCAATAATGGATATCGGAGAGAAAACATGTATCAAAACATTAGAATAAAATGAACGTTTCCAAAACAAGATTCACAAATATCAATAAAGCTCAACTTAATCAATAAACATTACGTCAATTATTACAACAGTATAAAGACATAATGGACTAAAAAGAACTACTAGTCAAAGTGGTAACTGATGTTTCATCTAATGAGCTTGTCGAATTTGACTGATTAAAAATGGAGAACTTTTTTTTAGCTTTTGTAGAATTTTTTTGAATATAATTTTCAGATTCTTCTTGTAAAGGTGGTTCACTAACTTCGATGTTAAGTGTGGGTGGAGGAGGAGGATTCAAAATGTGAAATTTTTTCCTAAATTTAGGAGGAGAAACAGGGATATGATTGTTTTCAGATGTTTCTTGTGGCATGAGGCTATGTTTTGCTGCAACATGTCGCTTCAGGTATTGTGGCCCTTTGGCAATGTGATCGCACTTGTCACACTTTGTAGACATCCTATGCTCAATCTTTTTATGCCTCCTTACCTCCCTCAAACTGTCCGACCTGAAATCACAATCTGAGCATTTATGAAGAGCTTCAACATGATTTTTGAGGTTCTCAGACAAAACGGTACTGTAATTGCAATGAGGGCACTTGTGTTGGCGCCGGAGTTTATGTTTGTCAAGAATGTGCAGTTCGAGGGCAGAGAGTGTGATAGACCTGCGCCCGCACTCTGGACACTTGTGAGGCTTTTCAGTTGGATGTGAGCCAAGGGTATGCTTGAAGAAGGCATCGACCAGATCAGTGGAGTAGGTACACTGGGTGCAGGATAGTATACCACCTGGATGCCTGTTGTTGAAGTGCTTCTCCAGCTGAAACTGATGAACAGAGGCATATTCACAGTAAGGACATTTAAATGGCCTTTCTCCTGTATGCTGAGCCATCATATGTTTTTCTAGATTGGTCTTCCATGAAGATATATAACTGCAATGATGGCAATTAAATGAAGAACGTTTCTTTTTGCGACCGTTTACTTGCTCGCTATCTGTATTTTCTGAAAGGGTGAACAAAAAGAGTATATTGTAAAGTAGTATATATAAAACCAAATATTTTACAATAAAAACAAAAAATTAAAATTAAATGAATAACATACAACATATTGTCAGTTTAGTGTAAAAATTCACTAAGTATACTTTTGAAGTATTCAAACATACGAATACATAACTGTGCATTTCGATCAAATTTATTGATGCAAAAGTACATCAAAATAAAACAAGCCCTATATTAACTATAACATATTTTCACTGACAAGATACTTTTCACAATAAACTGCCAATACATTTAAGTCAGGAAGTTGGCATGCAAGAAGTTTGCTAATTAATACCAAGTTAAAATTTGTTTGACAACTTCTTGATACAAAGCCCCACAAAAATGAACTATTATTGAAAAAAGCACTTTTTTCTAATCCTTACTATTACTTATATTAGACTATGACATCATCAAAAACAATATTCAGAGTTTCCAACAAATGATCTGCTTTGACTATTTTGTTGGAAAAACAGTTCACCCAATGAGTTCACTTTATTTCTCTCAAAGCTATAAAATCGTTTTTTTTCATGCAAATCTATTCTTGTTAGAATTCTTATGATATTAAAAGCTTTCTAAAAAGATTTAGCTTGATAAAACTTTTGGCATAACTTACTTATTTGAATGATGCTAAAGTGGACTACTCTACAAAAGTATTAACTAATACACAATAGGCCTTTAAGTTAGTACTGCTATTAAATCAGGAAAAAAAATTCTGTATGTGGAAAAAGAAAATTTTTTTTTTGTAATTTCTAACTTACCATATTCTTTCTCTTTTATTTTGACCACCGTGACATCATTTTCGACATCATAGATGTTATCTGAGAACAACACAATTTTAGCTGATATTAGTTGGGAAAAGAAAAAATTAATAGCTTAAACTATTACTTACAATGGCTAGCACCATTTTCTTCACCTGCTTCACTAGCTCGTTTTCTTTTACCACGCCGAATTTTCTTTTTCCCTTTGTCATACTTTTTAACTTCTACATCTTGGTTGTTACCCATAAAAACTTTATCTATAATTTAAAAAAAAAAATCAATTTATCTACATAAAATAAACAGACAACAAAACATATTAAAATAATAAAATATAATTACAGTGACTACATCCAGGTTCCTCATTGATTGTTTCAGGAGAATTGACTTGCTTTTCCTCATCGGATTCTTCAATCGTCAGATCATTTTCATCTTCATCAGTTAGAATAATTCTATCTATATATAAAGTAAGTTTAATTAGAAACAATAATATGCTACAAGAAAATCTTGAATTTTCATAAAGTGATAATTTAATTTGTGTAATGAATTTTTGAAGAAAAACTTAAATTTGTTTACCTAACAAAATGTTATTACTTTAATATGTTATTAATTTATTATTATATCAAAATGTTATTACTTTAAAATAATTTAAAATTGTTGCTAATATTGGTGTACAACTATTAAAACACCAAATATTTTTTCTACAATAGTAAATTTTAAATTATCTTTCCCATTGATGCAGATGCGACTATATACAAAATACTTAGCTAAAAAAATAAACTTAATTCATTAAATCAATGTAACTGGCATGACATTCTTAAAAATAAACCGTTTAAATACCTTAGCTTTGCTGAGAAAAACTATAAATGAATGTAGAAGTGTGAATAATCCATTTCTCACAAACAATAATATCCCAAAAAATCAGAAATTAACTAGGATATTCAAAGCTAGTTCAATATCATAAGGCTGAGCAAAAATTAGAAGTAATGAAACTAATAACTAAAATTAAAAATCTTGTTTACATCCTGAGTGACTGTTCAATCAATACAATATTCCACATTGGCATTCAGCCTTCAAGTAACATTGATCCCTAAGCTTATAGCAGAATAAACCAACTGTACCAAAACATAGCAAAATCATAAACTAAACAAAATAAAATGCTTACAGCAGTTTTTAGGCTGATCCGCAGGATGTGCATTATTTTCAATCTTCTGTGGTTCATCTTTTGAATCCATTGCATGAAAACCTAGAAAAAAATGTCTTTCCTATAAGCCAAACAATTTTAAGTTATAAACATGCTTCTCCTTTTAATTTTTAAGTCCAGGTTCATTATTATCTTCAAATCCTGATTACAATTAACACCCACACAACTAGATAAACAAATTAGTAAATGATATATTTCAAGGTACGTCACAATACAATCACAGACTACACCAATTAGAGACATTATTATTTAATAAAATAAAAAATATATATGGATATAATCTTTTAAAATTCTGGTAAAATCGCGCAGTTCATAAGGAATTAACAAAATTATACTTGAAATAAATTAGTTTTTAGTTACTAAGGCCAATATAGTCCTCATTTTTCAATTACTCATCACTGAATCAGAACTATTATTACTAATCCTGATATGCTTTATTGACTTAAATTACTAGTAAGAATTTAATTACTGTAATTTTATTTGAATTCTTTAAATAATTAAATAGATAAAATGAAATGAATAAGTATCAATTCAATATTGATCCTTTCTTAAGGATCAGCTCTTCGGATAATGGCTAAGGCTAATTATTTTTCAAAGAAAAACTTAATGAAATTTTGGTCCTATCAGCAAAGGTAAATCTAGGAGAAGAAAAAAAATGGGAAATTTATGTCCTCTAGTAGGAAACAGATATTGAAAAATCTGGGGTGTCCACTCACACGACTTTCCTATCTATTTCAGAAAAGTTTTTACCATATTTTCAAGAAGAAACAAAAAAGAATTGAACTAGATACATTTTCCTGAAAATTGATCAAACATAAGATTTGAGTACGATTTATTTGATAAACTAAAGCATTGTGAACCGGCTTAAGGTAGATCAGTATAAAAATTTCAATACTTCCTGATCAAAAACTTTTTGCCATAGCTTAGTATTGTCAAACAATAATTTCTGTTAAAAGTAAAGTAAATAGTGAAGATTGTGTGATGCGGACAACAGATTTTCTTACTTTCACTTAGTCATCTTTATTCTCTCATTCACCCCTTTCTGACAATAGGATATGAACACGTAATCTTAATTGAATAGCTGCAACTTCGTTAATAGTTGTCCGAAATGAACGATTTTTATATATTTTTGTAGGGGATTTTAATATCTTTCCATAACCGCATATCGGAAATTTGACCTCATCGCAATACTTTCCTTACCCAGTATAGGTAGGAAAGTAATAAATTAAAATAAAGATAGAATATGCAGTATCATCGCTAATACTGGTTTGCTTCCGATGATTTCTTTTTTTTTTTTTTTTTTTTATATATATACTTGCAAGTTATGCCTCAAAACATTGTTCAATTTTTTCGGGAATTTAGTCCATACGTGAAAATTGAAAGGACAATTTTAGAACATTATAGGAAAGTTTCATCAAAATCGTTAGAGCCGTTTTTGCGCTACAGTCTATAGAAAAACATGTTTTTAATTTATTGCGCAGCAGCTATTATGTATGGAGCATCCAATTCTGTCACAGGAATCAGTAGTCAACACGCTACAAAATAAAAAAAGAAGCAACAAAATCAGTTCAGTAGTTCCCGAGAAAATCTTGGCACAGACAGACAGACCAATGGCTAAAAATGTGTTTTTCGGACTCAGGGGGCTCTGAAACGTATAGATCCGTCGAAACCACATATAGGAAATTTGACCTGATTGAAATACTTTCCTTACCTAGTATAGGTAGGGAAGTAAAAAATTAATCAAGTCCAAAAAGCTATGATGGATATAGAAAATCATGAGAATGAATAATATCTAGAAATTCTGCAAGAGAGGAAGAAGTAAGGATCAATCTAGGATGGCTAAACAGCACCTAAATAAATTTAAGGACCCTCCTTAATATCTCTGACAAAGAAGCTACTACACAAAATACACCTGAATTGTAGAAGCAATTAAAGAAAGCCATCATCAAGAAATGGGTTGTATAGGAGTTAATTCCTAAAAATCTAAGGAGTTGTGATACCGTAAGATGGGGTAACCTTGGGACAGCAAGAAAAATTTAGTTTGTAGTGATTCCGTATGAATATATTGTATTGGTTCAGTCTGCAAAAATGTGTTTTGTGTAGGTCTGCACTGCGCTAATAGCTTGTGGCACATTACTCTTGAGGCACAAGTGAAAATTTCATGAAAACAAGAATTTTGAAAACAGCAATGGAAATTAATAAAACCTAACTGCAAGAGTTTAAAGGAGAACTAGGGTTCTCAAACTGCTGCGCTGTACATGCCTACACAAAACAAGTTTTTGCAGACTAAACCAACACAGTCTATCCAACAGGGAATCACCACAAACTAAATTTTATATGCTATCCCAAAGTTAGCCCATCTTACAGTATGAAAGATGGACTAACATCAAGAATGTATATCTATTTCTTTACATAGATTTATCTTTAAAAATCCAGTGATCAGAACCAATGCTCATTTTGGAATAAGAAGAAAAACAAACAATGAAAAGAATTCTTTGGATCAAAAAGAGAAGCATACCAGACCACATTAACGAAATCATTACAAATTAATTGTATATTAACAGAATAGATAATTATATATGACATACATTTGAATGATTAATAGATTTACCAAAATTATACTATCTATTAACATCTGACTTTAAATCAACAAGAATTAACAAACACTACAAAATTCATTACAAGAAAAGGTATATAAAACATTTACTTCAGGTTTAACATTTTTAGATAATGCTAAATAAAAAGGGAAAATTAGAAGAAGGAATGTTAATAATATATCATGGTAAAAAAGAACTTCTGACTGATTAAACAAGAAATTAAATTTTTATTCTATACAAAAATAAAGCAAAAAATAATCTTTGTAATATTAAAATCATACAAGTCTTATGGGATTTTTTGTTTAGTATATTTACTCCTTTTTAAATTAGCCGATAAGGAGAAATGTAAAATTCTTAACTATATGGGGAGTTAAATAAATTATAATTTTCTCTGTATTCTACAAAACATATTCAGTATACTGAAATCTTATGTTTCATATCAATCACTGAATAATATAGAAATATATAACTATACCCTTTCTGTAAATATTATAAATATAATATATATGTAATAATAATAAAATTAAGCAGTACAAGTAATACCAACAGACACATAAAATTCAAAATCAAAGCTTCATATCCTATCTTTGAAGCAGAACTTTAAACAAAATATGATCAATCAAACCCAACTTAAAAAGAACACAATGAGGATTGAAATGTTTAATAAACCTAGTAAAATAAAACATAATCCTGTAGGTAAAGTTTGTATATTATAATAGTATAATTGCCGGAAAATATAACATTAAACTTTAATCAACTATCTCCAAGTATTTCCAAATTATATACATTTATATAAAAAAAAAATTAAATTGCATACCTTATCACATCCACTCTTAAAAGAAATCAAATCAGTCTATTTCATCTGTCAACCTTAAAACTAAACACAAGATAACTATTAAGTGTAACTGCAGATATCAAAACAAACTAATTCAATATTACTTTAAGACTTACTAGAAGGCATATTAAAATATTAGATCCTATAAAGAATATAGATCTGTATGTAAATAAATACATACAAGATGTTCACTACATTCCCATTATTGAACCAAAAATAGAATCTTATAAAACGGCTATTAACTTCTGCGAGAAATGATTTTTGATAGTGAAGTCATTTCAATCAATGAGCTTATCTTAGACATTTCAAAACAAAATCAGTTGGTTTCATTCAATCTGTTGAAGTCGAAATCATAATATAGAATTCAAAATTTTAAGAAACCGAAAAACTTAAAAGTAATATAAAATCAATCTTCTAATTGATTATTCCTAAGCAGTTCCTCAAAACCAAAAAGAAGAAAAGTCTAAAACTTATGATGAACTAAGTTAAGTTTCTGTTTAATACGGGGCGTCAAGTATCACAGATAGAATACAGTTTAATAATCGATATTATGAAGTGTACTGAGAAAAGATGAAAGTAACATATTTTATTCATGAATCAGTTTAATTAAGCACAGATCTGAATTAAAACAAACTGCATACAAAGTGTATATGGATCTAAGAGTACTTATAAGTAGCGTAATTAACATAAAAACAAGTAGCAAAATAAATCGATACTGATAATAGTCAAGATTTCGGCAGGTTTGATTAGATAGTGTGTTACCTCCCGCGTATTATCGTATTTTTTGCCGGTCTTTGATAATATTAATTTTGAACTTGTTATTTAGTAATTTCATAATGAGTAAAGGGAAAAGTGAAGAATCTCAATCTGGCGAAAATGATAACTATGGTTATGAATTATTTCCTGAACGAAAAGGCGAATTTACTCCCACTGTAACTGGAGTACTTACAGGAAATCAAGGAAGGGAAGGAATAGAGAGACTGAAATGTGAAAGAAATGTGTATAAATGTTTCACGACTAGTAAGTATTCATTTAATGTAGTTATCATTTCTACCCCATAGTGTCTTCCTTTAGCATTACTATTAAAATGAGCCAAGATCTTAAGATTCAAATTACATTTTGTTCGAATTTGATCTTGTTTGAGATCTCCTTTATGATTTTTACTTATTAACTTCACCATCGTGTGGTGGATGTAGTCTCCTTTGCATTGGAGCTCGGAGTACTGCAGGGGAGTCTTTCTCGACGTTGAACTGGCGTTTAATAGAGTCTGGCATCCGGGACTGATGTACAAACTCTGTAAATTCCTACCACCTACATACTTCCTCATTTAACGTTCCTACCTTACTGACAGATACTTCAAAGTCAATGATAACAATGCTTATTCATCTCTGTTTACTCAGACTGCCGGTGTTCCTCAAGGTAGTATCCTAGGTCCTATCCTTTAAACAGTTTATACAGCTGACATCCCAACACTGTCATCACCACCTATGCTGATGACGTGTGTATTCTATCAGTTAATAATGATCCATCTATTGCATCCCAAACTCTTCAATCACACATCACAAGTCTTGAAAACTGGTGTCAAAACTGGAGGATTAAAATAAATCCCATCAAATTACCTTCACTCTTCGTCATAAACCTATGACTTCCTGTCCTACAGTATCCTTCAACAATAACCCTCTTATCTCTGTCGAACAAATCCGATATTTAGGACTCTACCTTGACAAACGACTCACTCACATTGGAAACGACTAGAAACCACCCGACGTTTTCGACTACTGCAGCACTTACTAGACAAACGCTCTAAGCTTTCAATCAATTACAAACGACTCATATATATTACAATAATAAGACCTATTTGGACTTACGGAATTGAGCTTTGGGGCTTCACTGAACCATCGAATTCCTCTCGTATCCAATCCTTACAATCCAAAATCCTCAACGCTTCTTACTTTGTCACAAATAAAATCATCCATAAAGACCTTAATGTTCCATATGTTTCCGATTTGGCCCAATCCAGGTACCTATCCTTCCATAACAAACTCCAGAACCATTTGAATCCTCTCGTTTCAAACCTTGCTTTCTCCTCGATCCCTGATAATCCTCTGAGGTGTCTGAAAAAAAGATGGCCTCAACAAGATAATCAATAACAATTATTTCCTTAATATTTTTTTTTATTTTAACACCAATCTTATCAATTTTCTCGAAAATATTTGCTTAACAATAAATATACGTTTTTTTATTTACAGACATTCCTGTGAGTGGGGAGCTTGACTTAAGGTTTACTATCCTGATAAAATTTGAATGTTCGTTCTATACCCATTTTTGCCATACTACCACGAGAAGTCCATGAAAATATCACAAGGAACAATTAGCCTAACAAGCTGGATCAAATATAATTCAGAAAATATTAAAACAGTATAAATTTAAAGCTAGAACGAATGCTATGAGCTAATAAATTTGTGAACAATGAAAAGTAGAGTTGGGAGTGTTCTTATGAGGAGTCATGAAGAATTATAAATTTAGAATAATTAAAAAGAAATTTAAGGACTGTTAATGGCATAAATTGGTGTAGGACGAACATTTAAATTTTTTCAGGTTAGTAACCATTTGCCTGAACCTTTTCATGAATGGGAATGGCTGCTATGTAATGATCCAAATGAACATGAAACTCCTCTGCTGAGTCCAGATTTAAATCCCATCTAACAAAGGGCCTATGTCGATTCACAGCTCGAAAATAAATATATAACGTCAGTAAAATATTTTAAAACTAAATTGTTTGATCCTCCTAATTGGCGTCAAAATTGATCGAATTGATGCCTAAATGGTACCCAAAAACAAAGAACTCCATTCAGAATATTAATTTAAAAAGTTTGAGTAAAATAAATATAAATAGATGAATTACTATATAATGTAGCTATGTATGAAAACTTTGCTGCATTCTGATTCTTATTTTATACTTTAATTGGTAATAAAAATATGTGTATTTATTGTCAGGCAAATATTTTTGAAAAATTGATAAGAGTGGTATTGAAATTATAATTAGGCCTTTAAATAAAAAAAATATGTAGGAATGAATTATTTTTATTTATTTTCTATTGGTGTGTGTATGAAAACTTTTGCTGCCCACTTTATGTTTTCTAACTTTACATTCATTCTTTGCCTTAATTTTTACTTTTGGAAGCATAAGGCAATTTTCAGAATTCGATCAGTAGTGTAACCATGAAATCTAGTGCCCAGCTATCAGAGTGGAACATTTATGAAGTAGTACTACAATGTTGTAAATGTTATAAGTACAATTATGATAAATGTATTAAGATAAAAGCTTGATTTTTTAAACATCAAAGAATATCGATTAAGCCATAAAAATAATATTAGAGAAGAGATAGCTAAGGTGATGAAGCTTAAAAGTCTCTATCTATTCATTAACAGTTTCATTTGGGTAGGTTTCTAAAAACTATTTATTTTTCATTCCAAACTTGATCAATCTCTGTAGAGCCCCTTGTAGAGGAATTGATGCTCTTGGATAGTAATGCAGAATATATCCAAATTCGCCTAACAGACTAGGTATCTCGCTCCTATTAAGAGCAATAGAAATTACCGTGTATGACAAGGTGACAGATGCAGATCAGGTGGCACCTATTGCCACTGAAGTGGAGCTACGTGTGAGTCCTGATCTGGATATAGTATAAAATCACCGATCAGCAAAACAAATCCCAAGAATATGCTGTGAACAACCCTCCTGAAGATAGGCTTCTGTCATGAGTCACCTCAACTAGAAGACTTCCCACATCTTTAAAAGAATGTTACTTCATGAATGAAATAGATGGGATGAATGTTAAAAATTTATCCTAATTTAAAATGACACATATTTCAATAATATATTGAAATCTATTAATATTGTTTCATTGAGATAAATCAGACCTTACATAGAAGGTACTCTCTATATTTCGTTACAGTTATAAAATTCATTGACAATTTTGCTTACCACATGAATGCATACTAGCAGTGATAGGTATATTTTAATTAAGGAATTTGATTTCCCTTGAGAAAACAAGTGTTTGAATTGTATTATTATTTTAAAATATGAAATATTGTTTTTGTTTCTTTCAGGTAAATTAGTTAAACTGATGGCAGGTGCTTTGAAGGCCTCTGGATGGTTTGTAATCTATTTATACTAATACAGCAGAGCGTCAATTATCCGAATTAATGTTGTCAGGAGTGGTTCAGATAATCAAATTCACTTTAAAAAAAAAATTTATATATATATTTGTATTTATATATATATATATATATATATATATATATATATAATATATATATATATATATATATATATATATATATATATATATATAAAAGAAAATATGAAACAATTAATAACAGTGTAAAAAAAAGCATGGTTGTTTATTTGTATTAAGACATATACTTACTTTCGTAGTGAAAAGGACAAATGAAAATGCAACGTGATGCAAAGGACAAAAATATGTACATACATATTTAAGTATATGTAAAACAGCATTTTCCAGCAATTCACTTTTCGCTTTTTTTATAGTTTTTCAACTCAAACTGCCCGTCTCACTGCAAAGATTATGTATGTACTTGGTACTTATTATTTTAAATTCCCGTTATCGTTGGTTTACCAATACCTAACTTGATAGCTAATGTCTGGCCTGATTCACCTTTTTTTAGCCTCTTAATAATTTCCATTTTGTCTGTTAATCCTTCTTGTTATACTGTAATTTTAAAACAAAAAGTGATCCCAAATGCAATATATATCCCATAGAGAACGATTTAAAATTGAATGTGAGTTATCTATCACCCAACCAAATGAATGGGAAGGGTTTTAGAGAAACAAATGAAATGACCTAATTAGGTATATAATTCTCAGTAAACAAATAGGTATAAAAGTCTAAGTTCATATTTTGCAGTTTCTGAGAAATAACTAGGCCTTTCTTTATAGGCATTAATAAAAAAGATTATTTTGTTTTTCATTTAATTTTATTTAAAATAACAATAATTTTAACAATACAAATAAGTAAGTACTTAGATGATCAATTTAAGTTTAGAAAAAGGTTCCATTAATTAAACGTTTGGATAATCGATGCTCCACTATAGTAGATTTACGTTGTACTTTTATTCAATTCATAAATTTATCTTGCATTTGGTGTCTAATTTGTCACAATTTTTACTTTTTATATTTAGTTGTATGAGTAGTTGGTATGAAAACTATTTATTTGAGATTATGATATAAAAAAGAAGAGTATAGAAGTTAACAATTACATATCTGTATGATGCGGGCCAAGATCAAATGATAACATTGTACATGGATGTAGAAAATAGCATAATTGGTCCAAAAAAGTTCAGAGCCGATCAATCTCAATATTCCTGATTGCCCTCACTAAAGAGTCATAGTTTTTGCTCATGGCTTTCAGTTCTTCCTATTTATAAATAAATATAAACTAGTTGGACCTTGTGAATAATTAACTCAGTATATTGGTCTGTGAACAGATGACAGTATAATATGGAAATAAGTAATTGCATAGTATTGAGTGAGGGAGCAATTCATTTTCTTTTACCTGGCTGATTAAAATAGTTCATTCAAAATAATAAACAAATTCATATCAAATAAACAATCAAAGTATTCTTATTTTGATTTTTTTTTCTTTTTACAGGATAAATGTTACAAATTAAATTATCATGTGTTTAATTAATCTAATAATAGTGAATGAGAGAATTGTCAAAACCCTTAGAAACAAGGAATGGACTGAGACAAGAGGATGCACTGGCCCCTTGGCAGTTCTACTTAGTTCTTGATAAGCTTGTTAAGAAAGTAAGGACAGAGGATAATAAAACAGTCATCAATAAATCACTATAATTAATGGCATACGCAGTAATTGTGGGAAGAAGCAGACAGACAATCGAAGAGGCATATGTCATCTTGAAAAGGGAGGCAGGAAGAGTTCGCCTAGAAATATAAGTAAGCAAAACCAAACTGATGATTGTAGAGAGAATGTGGCTGCAACACCCACCATGCTATAACATATACGGAGAAAACATTGAAGCAGGACCTGGGATCGTTAATAACAAATGAAACAGAGAGATAAAAAGAGGGATTCTGGCAGGAAGTAGGACATGTTATGCTCTTCTTCTAATAAGAAGTAACCTAATCTCTTTTCAAGACTCTAATCAAACCGGTTGTTAGTTAAGGCAGTGAATGTTGGGTAATGAACAGGATAACGTGTGACAGGCTTGACAGATTCGAGAGGGGGGTACTTCGATGAATGTTTAGTGGAGTGTGGTGTAGCAGAAAGAATAAAGAAGTATATAATATCTACAACGATCGGTCTTTGCTAAAGTTTATACGAATAAGCAGGCTGAAATGGTTTGGCCATTTCAACAGAATGAATGAAGTCAGATGAAGAAGCTATATAACGGAAAGATCTTCCCCACTAGAGCAAATAGTCGACCAAGAGCATGGTGAAAGGAGAAGTTAGATGGAAGAAGACATGTGACAGGCGGGTATACCTTTGGTGGAGGACAGAGCCCTGTGGCAACAGATGTTGAAGCAGGCCAAGAAGGACCACTTTGGTCTGTAGCGCCAGGAGAAGAAGAAGAAGATAATCAATCTACTCTTAATTGTATTCTTCTTTGAGTTACATGCAAATAGAGTTCCTACCTGACTTTTCTGGAGAATTTGCTTATTTTAAGCATCTGAAGAAGATAATCTTCGAAATGATGGTTCAATCATTGGATTTGATGAAGAATTAACAAAGATATGATGTACTATTGGGGTTCAAAGGAACGCCTTTGAGAAATAGTGCAAACTGTTTGATATATGACATTGTTATACAGGTTGTATTGCCTGCGGATTTATGCCAAAGTATTTAAAGAAACTTTTATGTTTCTGAATAAAGATAATGATGATCACGACCCTTACTTTTTGAGTCTTATAAGGGCTATAACAATAGTTACAAAACCAGAAATACAAATATAATAAAAGTGATTAAATTAAAGAAATAAATGAAAAGTTAAAACAGTGAAGACTTACATAATATTATTACTACAGAAATTAGTAAATAAAATTATCAATATTAAAGAAAAATAATGAACAAAATCGCTATACTCTATGTATTTCTATTAATTTTGTACATTGTTTATAATCTATTTACTTTCATATAATTTTTTTTGTTTTATTGCCATTACAGATCATTTAGATCTTTTGCCGCCTTAACATGCCTGCTCCATCTCTGCCTGTCTTGGGCTATTTCTTTCAATTTATCTGCATTCAGCTCTGTTCCATCTTTGTTGATTCTATCTATTCATCTGCTTTTTGGCCTTCCATGTGGTTTTTTGCCTTCTATTGAGGCATTCATTTTTATGTAGAGGCTTCCAGATGGATTGCTATGAGCTACATGCTCACCCATCTTGACCAATTTCTGTAAAGAGTGCTTTATTGGTCTTTCTTCCCGATGTGTTAGTAATCTGATCCCAGATCGCTCTGGTTATCGTGCGGAGGATTTTCCTCTCAAATCTTTCAACACTTTTTTCTAAGGTGGTGGTTAGTGTCTAGGTCTCACATCCATATATTAGAACTGGCTTTGTCATAGCATTGTACAACAGTACACCCTTAGTTTAAGATTTTTCGGGATTTCATTACCTTTGAGAGGGAGAAGAAAACTCTATTTACACTAGCTATGTGCTGGTCTATTTCTGCCCATTGTGGAGCCGAGGTATTTGAATTTTTCTTTTCTCGGGTATAATTTCCCTTCTATCCTGTTATTGGGATGGAATTTTATGCTTATTATCATGTATTTTGTTTTGTTTTCATTTACTTATAGTCTGATCTGTTCTGCCTCTCTTATCACAATGTTGTAGCAAGTTTCTCAATGTCTTCTTGATTACTACCAAGGACAGCTATATCATCTGCGTATCCAAGGATTTTATGATTCATTCCGACGTGTACACCTCCATTTGTCTGTGATGTTGCTCTTATTACCTTCTCTAGGGCTAAATTGAACATCGGTGATAATCCATCTCCCTGTCGTAAGCCCGTTCGAACTTTGAAGGCTTCAGATATTTCTCCTTGTATTAGGACTCTACATTTGAGGTCATTTGTACATGCCTTTGTCAATCTCACCAACTTACCTGGAATTCACAGTTCAGTCATGATTTTCCAAAGACAGCTCCTGTCCACAGAAGCATAGGCTGCTTTGAAATCGACAAATAGGGTGTGGACGCCCTCAACTACTTCCCATCGTTTTTCGAGTACTTGTTTTAGGATGAAGATCTGGTCTAGCGTGCTCCTCCTTTTTCTGAATCCAGCTTGGTGGTCCTTATCCAATTATAAATCACAACATTTTCAACTTACGATTGGTTTGACGACATTTGATGTATCGATATTACATTTAAAAGCTGGTAACTGAATTTTGGTCAATTTTCCAAGGAAAAAAATAAGAATTTAAAAACATGATAGAGATTTATTAAATTTTTACTATGTAGTACGATCTATACTTATTCATAATTAAATATATTTATTTTCAAATCTCTATTTGTATATAGAGCTCAGAGACTGGAGTTATGTGATTCAAATAGACTTACTAGGTTAAAAGGTTTTTATTGTCTGCAATCGATATAATAAATAGGGTTTGTGATATTTTTATGGTTTTATTGAGTTTTTGTATTGATGTTTATAACCGAAATTCAAAAAAATTTTGAAACCACCCAATTTCACTAGACAAGAATTTCTGTCCAAAGTACAGCAATATATGAACCACAAATTCCCAGTTCAGTCATGATTTTCCAAAGACTGCTCCTGTCCACACCAAGCAGGATTCTCGCATCATAGGCCACGCTGTGAAGCCATTTCGTCCTCGGCCTTCCTACCCGTCTTGTGAAGTGCAGCTCCTCAATCATTATTTTTTGTATATTTCAAAAGTGCTCATTCTGGCCACATTCCCTGCCCACCTAAGTCTGGGACAAGTTTAATGTATGTGACTATATCGATGTCTGTATAAAGAGAACTGAGCTCTCTCGTCATAGCCTCTGAGCCATACGTCAAAACTGGCCGTACAAGGGTCTTGTATATAATCACCTTGGTCTTCTTTGAGAGATATTTACTTCTAAAGTATAGGCTGAGTCCAAAGACACATCTGTTGG